GTGCAATTCACCAGGTGAAACTCCTGCATATAATAATACATACATTTCTATATCTGTGCCAGAAGAAACACAGATTACCTGCAAGTAAGAGAAACTAGGCCCTGTGTTGTTTCTCGTCATTCATACCAGTTGATTTCACGTCAGAGAAAACATTGCAACATCATCATATACAGTTTTTCTCGCTAACAGATTCACACACGTCGATATTCGTCTTCCGAAGGGAAGTATTCACGTTACTAAACAAACAGCCTTCTCACAGTCATGATAAAAGCAGCTGAGTTAAGGTTACTAGCTAGCGGAATGCCAATCCCAAAATAGGATGGCTAGCTAAAAAACGCTAGCTAGCTTCTAGCTAGTATGCTACTTCTTCCTGCTCAAGTCCCAACAGTTCTGAGGCACCAGCTAGCAGCTAGCAGCTAGCAGCTAACGATAGCTCAGCTACCGCTAGCAAATGGTCATCTATGCAATTCCCCCACATTTGTACTGACAGCTCGGCAAAACATGTTGCTATTGTTGAACAGCAAAGGTTACTGAGGTTAGGCGTGGACTGTATGGTACGTACCTCTGTTCAGTATTTATTTGCTATAAAACTCAAGTTTCTCCGCTGTCACAGGCTTGATTTGTCTCACTTACAGGTCTTCCCTACCTCATGGATTATACCATTGTATTAGATGGGGGTGTGTTATGAACACACGTAAATTGGTTGTAAAGCTTTTTTGCTTGGTACCATGGTAAAATGACTTTAAAATGTTTTTGTGTTTTTAAAATAATGTGTTCTATGTCCATGCACACTGATGAGATTAAAATCAGACTCACACGGATCAAAGTCATGAGCTCACCCATATATCCATGGTATCGCCTAAAACTACGGAAACCTCTTAGGAATTGAGTATTAAAAATATAACCACAGACACTCTGTAGGTGTAAATGTAGTTCGTCTCTGTTCTTTTGTCTCACTGTCAGTTACACACTTCATTAAACAATCAGCTGTTTAAGTTTTCACTGTCCTATAATTTTGTTATTTACATACCTTCCTCACTATAAATCCACACTAACATGACAGACGTGGAAGAGAAATATCAACAAACAATTGAAAGTCGTTTACAAATAATTGTGTGCGTGTAATTACGTTTTTTAAACCCACGGAACCTTAAAAAGAATACGCGTGTTACGTTCGAATAGAAGAAGAATCAACCAATCAGAATCGTCTAAACAATTACTGCCTAACGTTCTCTGGAATTAGCTAATATTTTAAATAACGCCAAGTAAGTTACAAACACAACTAATAGAAATTTACTTGAAGCTTAATATTTTTTTGTATTGTTCAAGCTCATCAGACAAACAGCCACACACCAGGTACAGCATGATTCATTAATGAATGAATGAACTGACGGTAGGAATAAGTTAACTTCCAGCTAACGAGTTATTAAATGCTAATGCTAGGTAACGGTAGCTAACTTACTCGTTTTGAAGAACTTAAAGATGGACAGTGGGCTAAAATATCACTTTTAGATAGCTTGACTGAAATCACCCACTGGTATGATTTATTTATTACTATTATTATTATTATTATTATTATTTAACAGCTATATTTGGACAGGTTAGGGCATTAATGACATTTAATAGCTAACTAGTTTTGTGAAACTAACGTTACTTCTCAAACTTAACCTACAAAGAAACAAGAGAGAAATACCCTCATTAGCTAACTTAGTTACTTGACTGAACCAGCAGAGGGAGCCACTACCTCCCCACCCCTCCTTTACTCAGTAATGTGAAGCAGGAGTACGGTAACAGGAGGAGTTTGGTAACAGGGAAGTGCTTCACTGCCTCCGGGAACTGGTTGAGTCATCAAGTCTGAATGATTGGTTGAATTTTTAATTGAAATGGTTAAGCTATGATTTGACTAGTAAAATAATAAAAGGATAAACCTCTTTAAGATGCTGACAAGGGGAGGCTTAAGAGGTGGCAAAGCAGATAATGGCAGCTCAGGAGCAACTCTCACTTAACAGTTAATTATCTTTACTGTATCTAAGGCCATGTTTAGACTGCAGGCCAAAGTGATCCAGTCTGATTTTGTTTCCTCTAATGTGACACAGATCTGACTTTTCCAGGACAGTGTGAACAAAGTGCACGAAAGGCATGCAGTCTGAATGAAGCCTAACACTGCCTTTTTTGTCCACAGTTTAGGAACACATGAGAACCCTAACTCTAACCCTCCCTAATCCCTAAGGAGAAACCAGAGTGAACACCCTGATCAGCAGCCCCAATCAGTGCCTGTCAGAATGAACCAAGTGATGTCAGAAGGGAAATATCAGCCACGTGCACCTGCGCCCTACATTCATACACCTGTTTACCTGCAAACCAGCCACAACCAGCATGGTAAGCATGTCTGAACATTTACAAACAGTCTACTGCCTCTCCCACTACTAACAGTGTTGCCGTTACCACAGCTGCAACAATCTCTACTCTCAATACTACTACCACTACTAATGCTAACAATAATAATAATAAAACAGGTAGGTATTATAACAAGCTTGGAGATACACAGCACCATCACACTCCTGGCGTTATCTCTGTTCACATCCAGCAGACATGGAGCAACATTATCATCCAATTGGAGTTGTGTTTCTGTCCACCTGACAAGTGTCAGTCCAATATTTACCCTTATTTTTTCTGTTTTTAGATAACCTTTGAGGGAAATGTCTATGTTTTAAGTTTGCTAGGAGTTCAGATCTCTTACCAGCCAAAGGCCATTTGATACTGCTAGATTATTTGATGTAAATCAGTGGAACAGTCTCAAAATCATGACAACATATTCCAAAAACAGAGATAAATGACAAACACTGATAAAGTCTAAAAGACATAGCACTGTATATAATGGGTTGACAGACACTGCTCAATGTCTCGCAAGCACATTCAACCCATCTCTCACCTTTTTGCAGTGTTTGATGATGGTGACATTTTTTAAACTCCTTTTTATTTGTATTTCAGTAAGTTGTATCTTAACCATTAATAAAAGGTTACATCAATAATTTTACAGGATACTATATAAAAAGAGTAGAAACTTTATTGATGCCACATTCACAGATTGTGTAATGTAGACATAATCTATGATTATTTACTTTACTTTACTTACTTTTCACCTAACCCAGTTGGGTATTTTCAAGCAAGTCCTGTCAAGTTCCTGTCTGAAGGGACACAGAACCTGCCGTCTGTGGCCATGACCGGCACACAAACACCACAGCCTTTATCAAGCACCCTTCAGTACTACGGGGAGACGCTGAAACGCATGCAGCAATATTGTATGCCCCAAATGCCAGGTAACACTTGATAACCAGCCTTGTGTGTATTATAGAAGTGTCAGTTGCAGCATGGGGCTTCACAGCAATATGGCTTGAATATGCTTCTGAGTGCTCCAATAGGGTTTGAGTGCTCCAATGTCTTCCCAACCATAAGACAAGCTTTTTCAGTGCGTGGATTGCCCACAACCAAGACAATGCTCTCAGAACTGTATCTTACTTATTTATTTACTTGGTCCTTTTACCTTTTACCAACCTAGTCCGATTTTCTCAAGGAGGTCCCGTCAGGTTCCTGCAGGAGGGAATACAGAACCTGCCAGCTACGGCGACAAACAGCACACAGACACCACAGCCTGCACAGAGACCTCTTGAGTACAACAGGAAGACGTTGGATGGCCCACGGAACAATGGTAAGCCAATATTCCCAGATAACACAGGGTAGCAAACAACAGTAACAGTCACTCAGGATTTTCCACATCACTTCTGTAAATGTCAGAAGAAAATGATTATACAGTTATGAAACAAAATGATCATTCAGGGAAAACAAACAGGGACACTAAATCACACAGAAAGGGACACATATTTGATGAGCAAGGCCATTGTTCACTCTGCAGCCTTCTACCTCCTGTAACAAATTTCTACAGGAGTTGGTAATGTCTGATAGGGATGCTCCTAATATATTTCATAACAAAACCTATTACATCTATATGAAACATGAGGTAAATATGAACTAGTTCATCTGTTACAGATATCATTAATCAATTGCTTTTTGTTGCAGACTGAAACATACATGAGTCAGTATAAAACTATATGCTGACAAATTGCTCTTTATTCAGTATTGATTTTTTTTAAATTTCACTGCAGGTTTACTCAAGTAGTGCACTTAAGTAACAATTTGAGGTAACTGTACTTTACCTGAGCATTTCTCCTTAATTTACACTGCTACCCAACTATAGTTCAGGGGGAAATATTGTACTGTGTTCTCCACATATGACAGCTAGTAACTAATTCGATTGTACATATAAAACATATGATAAGTTAGTAAAATATGGTGCATTTTTATAGATAAAACTACCTTACAGTATATAAAGTAGTTAAAATGAGCTGCAGCACAACCAACTACAGTGGTAAAATGCAGTGCTTACTTATTGATACATCAGTAATAGTAATATAATATTATACAGTAGAATATGGCAGCCTAACACCCAATGGGGCTCTTGTAACAAGGCTATTTTACAGTGTGGCATTGCTGCTTTTAATTCTGGTAAAGGATTTGAGTACTTCCTACATCACTGTCTCACTGTGTCCTCAAAATGGTTGAGTAATTGTCTTGGGAATTTCCGAACAAAACATAGGACGTCAACACTTATTTCCTTAAGGCAACTTATCTCTTCTATTTACCTCAGTAATGCCTGCAGAGGGAGCCAGCTCCTTAAGATTTGCATATGAAGTGAGTCAGTTGAGGGATAATGTTTTGCCATGACAGTGGCTACACATACATGCACATAATAAAATGTCTGTATGAGTAACCTGGCTTTGTAGTGCAGGTGTATTGGGATTAAGGTATTATTCACATGAATGTTAGTCACTTAATGAGCCTTCCTTGGACATACAGTGAAAATGCAGTGGGGGGCGGGGGGCAATAATGGGCTTGATATGTCTTTCATACTGAGGTAATAAAACAGTTTTTGCAATTACTTTTATGAAGACATATCATTGTGATTATAGCAATGAGAATACACAAAATGTCATCAAATGTTATGGTTTACGAATGAAGTTTTAACTGTAAAAAAGGGTTTTAGTAAGTCCAAATCATCTATGCCTCTACTAACTGTCCATGTTCAACAAGCCATATTCTTCAGTGTTGTCTTCCTCTTCAGCTGGAGAAAATTCCTTCTCCAAAGACAAACAGCAGAGCCCCTGACTCATAGCGCTGTGTCGGGGAGAGAGCAAACCATACTGTTGACATCAGGAGGCCAGTGATGTCATGGTGATGTCAATGCCTCTAATTGTAAATTGCACACATAGCCTCGCTTTTGGCTGTGGTAACATTTCAGTCAGAGAGAAGACTCTGAAGGGGACAGTTTGTCTTGGAAAAGCTGGGAGTAGATACGGTATGGCTGTAACTGGGGATGAGACAGAAACAGGTATGTTTGCATTTTTCATCATTTCTTTTACTTCCAGATCTAAAAAAATAGGGCTTCTTTTACACTGCTGTTCAGTTGAGATGCTCTTTTAGGAATCTCTCAAAATACAGTTAGTGGATATTAATGTCAAGAATCTACATGGGAAAATTTGCAGTTGAAAAACTTGAAAAATCCTGACTATTGTGAGTGGCTTTTCAGATATTACATATTTTTATGTTTTTCAGTATTTTTTTAACAAACAACTATTAGAAAGCCTCTCAAATTCCCTCAAATAACATCACAGGCTCCTCTAAAAAGGTAGCAAATGATTCATTGAAAACTTCCATTTTCCACCATCAGCTGCAACAAGCTTACACCGATTAGAAAATGTTTTACAGTGTCTGCTTGAATCCTCAGTCACACTCTTCATCTCTGTTTCTCTCTCTCCTTCTCTCTCCCTGTCTCTCCCTGTCTCTCCCTCTCTCTCTCTCTCTGTGAAATGCTTCAATGCTCTGCCCACACAGAGCACATAGCAGCAGTAGCTGACGTTGCTGCTTTTCCTGGAACAGGCCCCCAGCAGCGACATGTAAATGCGAACCAGCGAATAAGACGTGCATTGACGTCAGTCACTGGCCACGCTGTGATTATATTCTGTTCCTTTTGCAATTCAAACATATCACAGAATTAATCATCGGCGTATTACATGACATGAGGGACAGTGAGTTCCACTGGCACTGAGCAAACAGTGAACAGAAGGGAAGAAGTGGATAAGAATAGCACAATCTCTCTTTTCCAGTGTCACACGCCTGTTTGATAATAGTCAAGATAATAATATAATAAATCTAATTATATCTGTTTATTATTATTTATTTACCACAGCTTCATATGCGGCGCTACATTTCACAGCACACGTTGAATGAGCATGTGATGAATAATATCTCTGAAATCATGAAAATCTGAAAATCATCATCAAACTACAGTGAATTTTTTCAATGTTTTTGGTTGTACTCTCACATTGTAATGGAATAAGCGTGTGGTGTATAAGAACAAAAGTTAAGGATTCTTTTGGCTATGTGTCATATTTGTATGAAAATAACAGCGGTTACACCAGATTCAAATTTAAACATAAACTACTTGTAACTGAAGTGTTTATTAAGTGAAGATAAGCCAATTATGAACTACTACTAGGTTAATTTAACAGGGTGCAACTAATACTATGAGGTGTAACTGTTATATGGCTAACTGACCAAATAACAATAACAATAAACAATAAAAATAACATCACAGTAGTTTGCTACAGGGTTATCAGCAAATAATAAGGTTAGCATCATCCCCACTCATCTGCCTGAACACATCTAACACATATTGATATAACTACATTTAAAAAGGCCAGTTATCTTTAATATAACATTTGGCCTCCTAAACTGTTATGTATTGCAGTTATGTTACAGCTTGGTTACACAGTGAATTGCTGGATTGGACTGCGGTACAGTTGTTTTTGTAGCAACTGAGTTACACATTACTTAAAGAGCCAGTAACATTTAGGAGGATCTACTTGCAGAAATGGAATAACTATGTCTTCATTAGTGTATAATCACCTGAAAATAAGAATTGCTGTGTTTACCTTATGAGCCATTTATATCTATAGCACCGTGGGTCACCTTCATACTTGAGGTCTTTTCAAGCTAAGACATTTCTTAAAGGACCAGTGTGTAGCATTTAGTGGCATCTAGCGTTATAGTTGCAGATCACAACTCTGCTGCATCAAACTACAGTGGCTGTAAAAGGGCGAAAAATGCCAACAGCCCTATCTGCAGCCAGTGTTTGGCGATTCAGTATGGTGAACTCCAAGTGACCTGTGGCATCTGTCGATATAAAGCCTCATTCTAAGGTAACAAAAAACAAGACTCCTATATTCAGGTGATTATACACTAATGGAAAACATAGTTATTCATATTATATTGAATTTCTGCCAGTAGATCCTCCTAAATGAACCTTTAAGCCATTGGCGCAACCCAGTTAAACTAGCTAGTCGCTACTTGGAACTTTTCACACAAGCTTTGTAATGGATTTACAAATAGCTGGTGCAACCCAATCCTGTTGACTGACGTATTATTTTGTGTTTCCCCAGGCACCGCTAGTGACCTGACTGCCTGCCAGCTGCGTAACCCCAGCTCCAGCCTCCCACAGGGGGTGGTGGGGGCCAGCACTCATAGCTCCCAGAAACCCTTAGAGGAAGCCTTACAAAAGAGGGAGCTCCGATTGATGAAGAACAGGTAGAGTGGACCATTAACACTCATCAGCTTGGACATTGGACCCGAACGATACATCAGCGATATTAGCTTTATTATACTGGTATCAGCACTTATATTGGCTCATAATTGACGTGAAATTGCACAGTAGAATGCCAAAGATAGTTTGAGGTATTTTAAATCAATGGTTCAACATTTAGGGAAAGGTTTCAGCTACAGCCGGCTGATTAGCTTAGGTTAGCATAACGATTGGAAACCTACTGTACCAGCACATTTAAAGCTCACTAAGTTATATGTTATATCTTGTTTGTGATAGAGCAACAAGAGTTTTTCTGACGCAAACTTTTTCAACTGTAAAATGTCCCACTGAGTACATTCTATGTTCTGTGTTGAAAAATAGAATATTGGCCTGTAAATTCAAGTTCTCAAACTCTCAAATATCGGTATTGGCCTTAAACACATTGGTCTGGCTCTATTGGACACATTCACTGTTGGAGGTTCACAAACACCTAGCAAATACCAAGTGACAATGGATGACAATAACTGCGTGTAATAATAAGATCCACAAGCCTATCATCATTCCACCGCATGATTCTCATCCATCCAGTGTGGTCAGCTGCTAATTCTTAGGTTGTGTGACTCTCCATTATCTGCTCTGCAATGTATGTGTGGAGTGAAGAGTGAGCTGACAACTGTGTGTTTGTAAGTCAGTTGTACGTGAATGAGTCCGGTTCGCTGGTGAGCAAGATTGATCACCCTCTGTTTTGAACGTCACTGTCGGTGTGTTTGCTGTAAACAACCTTGTGTCATTACTGGCACCGACACCCACTTTTCTTGTTTGCATGTCCCCTGTCCTCCCATGTGATCATTTTACTACGATCAGTAAATCTCTTTCTTTTTTTTTTTTTCCTTTTTGTTTATGACATCTTTTGCTTGACTCTATTATGTGAAGTCCTGTCCCGGAGGTATCTAATGTCACAAACATGTTTATAATCCTTGTCATCTAAACATTCTGGTGCCCTACATGAGAGGAGCTTTTGTCATTTTTGTAATGCGAGCCTTCATATTCCCCCTTGGTATAAACTGTTTTATGTCAAGAATGACTGCTGTGTTGTATGTGGGAGAAAAGCCAAGATGTTGAGGGTTCTTTTTCATGGTAATTCTTGTTTTTGCTTCCAGGGAAGCCGCCCGGGAGTGTCGACGAAAGAAGAAGGAATATGTCAAATGCCTCGAAAATCGCGTGGCCGTGCTCGAAAATCAAAACAAAACTCTGATTGAGGAGCTAAGAGCCTTAAAGGACATCTATCGACACAAAGTGGAGTGATCCCTCTGACTGGAAGAGGAGCCAGGGATTGTGTGCGGGGACTGTGTTTGTTAGTGGTGTACTTCTGTGACGGTGTCTCGAGGACTCTGGTTTTGCTTATACAGACCCACATGCACACAAACACACACAAATAAACACACACTCTCACAAAACACTCCTTGTCCTTGCTGTTAAATGTGTTTACACGATGATGTCAATGTTTCTGGCTCCGAATTATCGACGCGCCACCACCAGCAAAAAAACAAAACAAAACAAGTACTATGAGGAGTTTATGTCCCTTTGAACATGGAGGCTACCAGAAGTAGCCGGAAAAGAATGAGGGACTATATGGACCATCTGCAAACTCGCAACGCCTTACTGGAGATGGAGAATCGGATGCTGAAGGCCCAGCTGGAGCACCTTAACAACCCGAGCACCCAAAAACTAGATCCACTAACGCCTTTGCCGTTACCACCTTAACTGCACTGCATTTGACATTCCTTTATGCTCTGTTTTATAATTTGGCTCTATTAAAATGCCATATCAGTTGTCTTTGTGATGGTCTGTTTTGCTGTTTTGGTCAGGAAATGCTGCAAGAAGCCAAATAAAAGGAAACCGGGTCCTCAGGGCTTCACGTAGCAATGATTCATTTTATTACTCAGAAATCCTGATGCAAGCACACAACCAGGAATTAACACCTACCACTGCATTCATCACCCACATTACTTTGTATTTCATGCAGAGACCTACCAGGATCTGTCGTGCATCTGCTTCTAACCTGTGGCATGTATTATTTATTACCCTAGCTGCATTTTTTGTAGTTTTGAATACCAGTGCATGGTTTTTACAAACAAAAAGGGGAAAAAAATTGTTTATCTTAATATGAATGAGTGTATATTTAGTTAAAAAGTACAGGCATTTGTGGAAATTGTATTAACTCACTGTTTTTAACCTGACTGTTTTTTGCTTCGTCTCAGTATACATGGTTGAATTTAGAAGTTATTTATGTAACTATCATTTTGAATGCTGTTAATTAGTAATTTCTTTGTTGGTGCATAATTTCTCCTCTGTAATAGCTTAGCCATTGTCTTGTTCTGATCACACCTTATTCAAAAGGTCTTATAGACATATTTTTAAAAATGTATTCTCTTCAATAAAGTTCTTGCTCAGTCTCTCTGTGTTGTTGTCTGGGGCACATTCAGGGCTCTGTTAGCAAAAAAGCCCCTACATGACTAGCATTTGTAAAGCAAGTTGTAACCAGTGAGTCACTAAGGCTAAAAGTTCCATTACGAGTGTTTGATAAAGCTTTTATTGTCAGGCTGAGGCTCGACCTTGGGTTTCTGCTTGGAACGCCTTGTGCTGTCTCTTCAGTGATGACCCAACTTGATTGCCAGGGCTGTCAAGCAAAGCAAATAATGCTCCCTCACAGATTTTGTTGCCTTCTGTAGATGGACAGACACATTGCCAGCCACACTGTTATAATAGCACATTGCATGCTGGAAGAAGGGGAAGTATTTAAACACATTTTCCATAAATCACATCCAGAGGAATGTGGATGTGCAGAGGGGAAGGAAAGATTGGCCCGGTTTTCAGTGATGGCATTCTCTGACTTGGTGGATACAATTAAATTCTCCAATAGTCCTGAAAGTGTTGCAGTAAAAGGAAAAGTGTCAGATATTGACCAACTTACAGTAGGACCTAAAACAAATCCTGATATGACAGGAATGGATTGGATTAATTATAATACTTTGGAACACCTTCAAAATGTCTATTCTTTTTTGTGCTACATCTTCACTGATGTGTGTTTCCTGTGCTGTCACTCCACATGTGCAGTTTGTTAGGGACACATCATGTAAACAATACAACTGACAAAAAGAATCCAATACCACTGAGACTTACACTGCACCTGGGCCTATTGTGAAACCTTATTCCTGTCCAGTGTATAACAAGAAAACAACTCAACTTCCACCCTGACAGAGACAAAACTACAGTGTGGAATGCAGCCGTTAGGGAAAAGGAAACACTGTCCGAGTGTAGTCATAGACGACACACAGCCTTTAAATACTAATCATAGCAGATAGATATTATTTGTGCTTTTAGACAACTACAATTAAAACATGTCACAACTTCTACCAAATGATGGGCACTCTCACACAGCTACTCTGTGATTGGTTTGCAGAGCTGTAACAATTGTATGTGTATCTTCCTAAAGGTTTTAACATGTGACGTGTGGGTTAAAAGAGAGTCTCACCTTCACAGGATAAAGGTTGGTTTATAACAGGTGGTCTTTCAGATCACACAATACCTTTTCTAAAACCCACTTTAACAGGCTTTGATGTGGGTGTCTCCTTCTTCCATTAAATGCAATGCAGCTGCAGTACCAGCAGGTTGCACTACAGCACCATGCCTGATCATGTCAACCAACATAATCATGCAAAAAGCCTACCAATTCTCACACATTCTTCAGTGTCCAGCATCATCAGTGATAGTCTGAGGCATCAACATGTACATATTGTCTCGCACGTCAAGGAAACATCTCATAGGATTAGGCTTTTCCTCGGGACATGACTTTGTTTATGTTAAAGTTCTACTAATCCCTTTTAATCCTGCAGAGAGATTTAGTATGACCAGTCATTTCCCTGTGTCACAGGCAAATCAAAGCCCAATGCATTTGTCAGTCATCAGTCAAGATCAAATAATTTATTGGCACACACACAAATATAGGTAAGAAGGAAATGACAGATTGTCCAAGTTTGGCTGCATAGCATGTCATAACCCAGGGATATACAGTAGTAGTGTTACCCCACCTGTTAAAGCAAGAACAAACTGCTATATCTCCATAATGTATTGTTATTATACAGACTGTAAATACATATTGGTGAAATGGAACAAATCACTGAGACTTCAGAGATCCACCTGAAGCCTTAAAAGGGTATTTTTCTATTCGGTGACATTTTATATTGTTCTTATTTCATTGCACCCCCCTAGAGACTGTCATAATTGTCCATTTATTACACAGTTGTAACCACCCACTTGAACCGGAACCTTTTCCATAACAGCCACAGAGCTGTGGGGTTTTTAAGATATGTTTACGTGCTGCCCTAAAATTGTAATTTCTAAATAGCATTCATGTATTACCCTTCTCCCACAATGTTGTAAAGATATATATATATAATATATATATAAAATAACTAACACAAGTTAACTAACTGAGAGTAAAAAAAATAACACTGCTACTGTACGTTCTTCTTTGTATTAAAGTTAAACAACTTACAATGGACACACATTGCGACAAGGTCCAGACGTATTACCTCAAAAGTTGAGTTTAATACCCTTTTTTCCTCTTTTATTACATCATTATTTTCACCATTTTATTTCAGGCGTTGCGGGTGGGTGAAAACCCCTATACCGAATGCATTTTAAAGTGCGAAGCTATTTCCTAAATTTGTAGGCAAAAATCCGACATTACGAGGAGTACCTGAAAGCAACGCGGCAGCGGATGTAGCGGCAGCAGTCTACAGTACATCGGCAACCATGTAGCGCTGAGAGCAAAAATATCTTCCCCCGACTAGCTAAAGTATAACGACTTCACATTTATTCATGTTGCCATAAAGTAACCGTGCACCAGAATGTGTTTCTGAGGAGAACTGGACGTCCAGACGGAAATTACAAGGCGAGGGAGTCGAGTGTGAAACCGAAGCCTGTAACGTAGAGGCACTATCTGCCCTCGCCTGGACGTTTGGTAGGGGACGTTGGGGCTGCTCTTCTGATTTAATAGCCCGGCGTATTAGCAGCTGTTTAAATGACTGCACTTGTGCGGATACGCGTATTTTAGACTCGAGGGAAGGGCGTGTAACGCTAACGGATACCGGGCGTTTGTAGTTTGTTGGCACCAGGTCTGACTACCCGCGTTACCGCCCCGTTTTTTCTCTCTTGTAGTAACGCTAACAGCACGGCCGGGAGAAGGAGGCTGAAAGTACCGTGTTGGGTTTGGACTATAACCAAAGCCTGCGTTCACTATGGGGAATACAACCTCCTGCTGTGTGTCCTCGAGCCCCAAACACCGGAGGAACAACCACTCAAGGCTCGAGCCCTACCGGCCCGAGCCGGAGCTGAGCCGGGAGGACACGGGCTGCAACCTCCAGCACATCAGCGACAGAGAGAATTTAGACGGTAAGATGCAGTTACTGACGTTTCTGAGTAACATGTAAATAAAATAAGAGACAACACACAAATAGCCGGGGACAGTGGCTTATTGCTCGGAACATACCCACGCCTCTAAAGATAGTAGTATTAACAGATAATGAAAGCTTGGAACATCTGTGCAACGGACCCACCCACCCTTCCTTTTCATTGGACCTCCAGCATGTTGGAAATCAGCCTTATGCAGTGGTGGAGGCAAAAGTCCTGATGCGTCTATGTGTAAGCAGCATTTGACTGTTGTAGCTGGTCAAGTTTGGGCTTGTTTTAACCACTTTATCTACTGTTAAACTCTAATAGACTCAATTATAGACTGAAATCACCTGGTAAGAAGGATGGAAACATACATCATAATTTTAAAGGTGATCATATGTTTTGTATGTAAAATCGTAATCTGCAAAGTAACTCCAGCTGTCAGATTGTTTGCCTTGAAAATGGAGTAAAAGTTGTATACAACAGCAGAAAATGAAAATGCCTAAGTAAAGTACCTCAAAATATTGGCAGTGGTTTCCAAACTTGGATGCAAGATTACTATTATATTTTTGATGGGGAAATACCAGATTAATATCCCTGTTAGTTTCATTATTATCTTCCATCCTTCGCTGGGTGCTTCCAGGTTGGTGCTTCCTCAGACAAAACCTTATTCCTTGATGGTCTGCAACATCTCTTTGTTGGGTTCTTTTACACGAACAATGTGGGAATCGCTGACTGTTCAGCTTGGATGTCGTTGTTTTCCCACCAAGCCCTGAAGGCAGTTCGACTGAGTCTGCTGACCTGTTGTAGGACCCAGAGCTTGCGTCATTTTCACCATGTGTCTATGTGTGAAAGGGTGCGCAGGGTCCGGACAGTGCGTTAAAGGGCAAGTGTGAATTTGTGCTCCGGTGGGAGGTGATGTGATAATGATGGACAGTGTTTATAACAGGATGTCCATTCATTTCCTACAGGGAGCTGAAGAGTACATGACCAACATCACATTTTAGTGCTCATTAACACCAGCACAGACACACTCCACTGTACAGTTAGGATCTAAATGTCTCCAGGGACCATTGGGAGATTTTAGGGGGGTTGCCTCAGCAAAATGAGGAATAGTTTAGTGAAACTGCTTTTGGCTTATAGTTGTTGGAGAGAAATGATGCTTTGATTTGACATTTACCCAAACACATCTGTAAAGTTTTATTAGACAAACAGTATCAGGTCTAAAGTGTGTCTAATTGTGTATCAACGCAAAACATAGGCACCCCAGTGATTAGTAAGGAAATGGGAAGGAGAGGGGGGAAGGCATGGAAGGAAATTATCCCAGCATGCAACCACAGTAAGGAAATTGCCAGCAAAGCTTGAGGAAGGTTATTAGAAAATGTAAAACATTAATGGCAGCCAGTCCTAATGCTGGTTGTTGGAGCGAGCTCAATACAGGTCGTAGCTCAGCACCCTGCTTGGCATCACATTGTCTCAATCCTCAAAGTGAGTAACAACTATGGCTTTTGTAGCATAGTAGATACAGATAACACACGCTGCCCTTCACAGGGGGCTATGATGTCAGCCAAAAACAAGTCAATATGCTACTTGGAATTATGTGTGTTTCAGTTTTTCTGGCATGGCAGGTTTTTTCCCGAAGCTCATATTGCTCAGTCTAAACGATGTACAGTAGGAAAGGCCAGTCAACCTCACTGTACTCTTCGCTGTGAGGCTCCGTGTAGTGAGTAATCAGGGAAGCATCAGGCTCTGAACTGTGTCCTCCTCAACTTTGTAATCGATGGAGCAGGCACGGAATGGATCAAAAGTGGTTTTCAATGCCCAGTACAGCTATTTATATTTAGTATTTTTGGACTGTAGTTGCAGAGAGATATCCGTCCATCCATTCTCTGCTGCTTATCTGGGTTGAGGTTGTAGTAGTAGCGGGCTAAGAGAGGTAGCCCAGACATCCTCCCTTGACACTTCCTCCTGCTCCTCCTGGGGGATCCGAAGGCATTCCGAAGCCAGCTGGGATATGTAATCCCTCCCAGCATGTTCTGGGTCTACCAAGGGGTGTCTCTTTAGTTGGACGTGCCTGGAATACCTCCACAGTGAGGCGTCCAGAGGGCATCTGTCCATGTGAAGAAGCAGCAGCTCTGCTCCAAAGTTTATTCGGTTGAGCCCAGACACCTTACAAAGAAACTCAAGTTTGGTTACTTGGTTGCCACAATCTCCGTCTTTCAATCATTACCCAAACTTGGAACAGTGCCAGTAATATTTCTTTATCATTTGGACCACTTCAATGCCAGAAATCACAGGATTGGTATGGTATAGCCAACATTTAGACCACCAATAAGTCATCTTTACGTCCTGATAAAGGGAATTTTTAGAAAGGTTTAGAGCTGCACTAACTAGCTGATTAAAGGTCCAGTGTGTAACATTTAGGAGGATCTATTTGCAGAAATGGAATAAAATCTATAACTATGTTCTTTTTCATTAGTGCATGATCATCTGAAAATAAATAATCATTATGTTTTTGTTACCTTAGAATGAGCATTTTTCATGAGATTCCATGGGTAGCCTTCCATGGAGGCTGCCATATTGAACTGTCACGTTTCTACAGTAGCCCAGAACAGACAAATCAAACACTGGGTCTAGATGGGGTCTTTGGGGCTTTTTGCGTGTTTTGTGGCCACCATAGTTTCTCCATCGTGCCTGGAAGGGGAGGGTGCTAGATGCCACTAAATCCTATACACTGGTCCTGTAGTTGAGTTGCTCAGAAGAAAATGAAACAACAACTATTCTGACAATCAGTGACTCCTTTCAGGCCTTTTTCAAGCAATGCAACTAAAGATTATATTCATTATTGATTCATCTGCTGATTATTTTCTCGATTAGTCATTGGATTTTGAAAAAAGATATCTTTGCCTTAATCATATTGAGGATGAGCAATGCTCACTGGCTGATGTTGATGAAAATGTTGGCTAGCTGTGTAACTGTGTAGTCACTGCATGTAAACTTGTAAACAGCACAGGAGGTCAGTCTCAAAGATAATCCTTCTGTTGTTTTGTTATCAGTCTTTGGACAAGAGGTCAAAAGTTCCAACACAAAGCTTTGAATTGTGCCTCTTAGAATAAATGTAATTATGAAAGGAAGGGGGAGAGCAAGAACTGGTTTCAAGCTGGTTTGTCCTAAGCTGTTTACACAAGTCTGTAGGTAATGACCCTCTGGCCGTGTCACTGGACCTCTAATGGCATTCCACAGCCAGAAGCATCCCCCTTTACTATCCTATCCTGTCGGGGAACACTGCTTGATCCAAGCTAATGAACACATGGGAAAGTCACATACTGTTGGTCACCATGCCCAAGCCTGTCTATAGCAAAGAGCTGGTATACTCTTGAGAAAAGTAAATATGGAAATGTGCAAGCAGACCACGTGGTGGGGGGAGAAAAGGTTATGAAAGGGTTAGGAAATAGTTGGTTTTGTTTATCTTGCTCAATCATCTCTTATAAAGGAGAGCAGTGTAATGGTAATCAAGCTCTTGTGTTTTATCATGATTTGGTTTTGCAAATAGTATGATTTAGTTTGCGTACAGTGCATGCCTGCCCCTGCTTGTTTTGTGTGTTTATGTGTGTGTGTGTGTGTGACCCCGGCTTGGTTGAGCATGTGATAACAAGAAAATCAGCCATGAGAACTGCTGACACAGTGATGATGACACACACGCTCTTGCGTTTTGCACAAACAAAACACACACAGTGCTCACCGAACATCCTCCTCCCAAGTGTGAGAGGGTCTTTCATGTTAGTAGCCCCTTTCATAAATCAGCAGTGTAATCTGATTCGCCTGAGCGGTGACTCCCTCTCTATGGAAACCCTGCGTGTTCTCATCATAACTTATACACCAGTCAGAGAGAAAGATGCTGAAGATTCATGCCCCTCCTGACAACTTATTTATGTCTATTTGTGTTCACTCTGTCAAGCTATACAAGTTGCACATATATATCTCCTTGTTAGGACCTAAGAGTACCATGCCAACACTATAGCACAGGTCTCTCAGGGTCAAGCCTGTCACTTGCCTTTGACTTTGATAAAGACATGTCCACTACCACAGATTTACAGGTGTAAAGGATGGTTAAGTTTTATGGTTGCACAGGTTTAGTAATTGATTCCCAATGAGGGGAAATCACTCGTGGAATACTGCTGTTGTACACTGGTGGCTTCTGTGGTCACTGAGCAGATTCCACAGTCAAGATGCGTTGCAGTCTAAATGCATTTAATATGAAAAATGCATAGGCAGTTATATAAGGATGTGTTTCTAAAGTCTAGAAAAGGTAGCTTTTTGAAAATTGGATGTTGTTTGCTGGCTCCAGTGATCTGAGTATAAAACCTTTATAGGCATGGCTTCACACAGCATGAAATATCACTTTATACTTTTATCTAACCCCTTATTAAAACAATGAAATATACAGCAATAGGGAGTGGCACTGTACTTGAACTAATCTTGAATGTAATTAAAGAGAAAGAAATTGAAAAAAACTATTTCTCCATTTCTGATCATGAAGTGAGAAAAGCCTGAAAATCAACTGAATTCTGACATTGATATTTTTTGCTGTATGCAGAAGAAGAAGATTTAGTAGTAGTAGTAGTAGTAGTAGCAATAGACTAATATAGAAGACAAGATGATCAGAGACTAAGATTACAGATTGCCATCATCTTGTAGCTCATGTGGCTCAGTATAACTAGATTCACCATCACTGCAGTGCTCAAAAGAGAGAGGAGCATTCTTTGCAATTTTCAGACCCTCCAAACCAACAGCTGAGCTATTTTTAGCCTAATGTGATCAGAGAACATTGTAACATTGTATTGCTGCACCGCAGCTCTAAGTAAAGGTAAACCTAGAACACTTACGATGTCACAGAAATAGGAGAGAAAGGAAAGATGAAAGATGGAACAGATGGATCTCTCACCCTGTTTGGGTTTTACTTAACATAGACAACTGTAAATGAGCAATGGCTCCAGGCC